TTTTCCCCCCCCCCCCACCACCCCCCCCCCCCCCCCTCTCCTGACCGCTGTGCTACGCCACCGAACATGCACAAATCCTCCAACCGCCCAAAGCCCTCTTCCTTGCCGACAAACGCCCCATACATGGTGCGAAACCTGCGCATTTGTTACTTTCAGTGATTTGTTTGTGTTGTGTTGGCTGAAAGACTAATGGGCTTTGGTTTATCTGTGCCTCTTAGGTTCACGAGAAAGGTGCTGTTGTGGCTAATAAAGAGATTTACAATAAGGATACTTGGAGTGCAAGGCTTTGGTTATTATGTTTAGATACTATGATGTTATATGCCTGCTTTGGTTGCGTTATTTTATTTACAACCTTGGACAAAAATGGTTGGGATAACTAGGGCTTATGGTAAAATGACTTCTACCTGTTTGATTAAAAACTTGTATGAAGAAATGGAGCTGCACATTGGGATGTCTAATTCGATTGCTTCTGATGTTCATGGGAATGATAAGTTGGAGTTGTAAAACTAGGTGTTTGATGCTGTTTTGGTTCATAATTTAATGGTACAGATGATTTACAATGGGACGGAGGCAGTGGGCTTGGAGGGGTCGGTGCACGGTGATCGGTAGCACTATGGATGGTGTACAATGGTCCGACATTGAGGGATTGTTGAGAAAGGAAGATATGGTGCTGGTATAGCAATATGAAAGGTGCATCATAATAACATGACTTGATTAATCTAAAAATCAATGAGTCCGTTTGAATATAAATTAAAAATATTTTTATGAGTTTGTCTATTAAAAATAAAAAATATTTTTTAATAGAAAGATTTTTAAAAACACTTTTAAATTTGTATTCAAATATATTTAATAACTATGATGCATGGTAGACTACTTATAATGGTTGGCCACCTTAGAATTCTTCTCACTGCCAAATTGAGGAAAAAATGTTTAACTTTATCACACATTTTTTGAATTTTTATATTACATTAACTTAATTAATTTATTCATTTAAAGGGTTTTTAATTAATGTATAATTTATTATCTTTATTAATCATAAATAAGATATTTGCAAGTATTCTGAAAAATAATTTTTGTTCAGTTAAATACTTGTTAAAAACATTCTTTTTAAAAATAATTGTTTAAATTAAATTTACATTAAATTAATTAAAAAAAATAAATTAAAAGCTTTTTATGCAATACTTTTTGACACCTTGGTTGAAATTTATTATTGAAAATCACATATTTTAATTGACCATGCCTCTTATTCGATGACACTTCCTTTTGATTTTATAATTTTTAATAATTGTAGTTTTAACAGATTTTAAATAATAAGTGGGTGTTTGTAATATTAAAAAATGTGTTGCTAGTATTTTTGTGATTATTTACTCAATAAATCATTTTATTGAAACATTAATTTTTTATTAATGTTATTTATAATTATTTGGACAATTCATGGATATAAGTTAATTTGATCCTTCCTTTAAAAAAAAAAGTTAATCAGATCCTATAATGAAAATACTACTACATGAAAAATATAAAATAAATAACATATACACGTCTATATTGTATTATTTTGCATTCACAATCTAATTAAATAATTAAGTTTATCAATTTTTTTATTTAATCAAATAATTTGATGATATTTAGTTGAGTTAATTTATTAGCTATTTTAATCATATATCCAGATTACATAATGAATTTGTTATATTGATTAAAAGTTCATTCATATTTAATTCAAAAGTACAATCTCAACTATACATTTATTTTTATATAAAAATATTTTGATAAGAAAAAGTAGTGTATGTTCTAATAATATGATGGATAGTTATGATGATGACTTGTAATCACAAATCATCTTATCTTAAGAAAAATGTTTAATTTATATTATAATTATTTTAAAGACGTGACAATAAGTTCTAATTGAATAACCCTTTTATTCGAACATTTTATATAAAATTAAAATCTTTTAATAACCCACTGTACCCAAAAGAAGAAGAAAAAAAAGTTAATCAATTCACTTGCAAGAAGTTGTCTTCCATCTTCCACCGTCTTGACTCTTGAACAACCATGTCTCCATCAGCCTTCCCAAGTCTCCAATATCTCTAGTCATGCCCATTATCCACCGATGCAACCACGGTTACCATTCTTGGTCATCATTGACTCCGTGCCAAATTCAGTTTTATTTTTTTATGAAAAAATTCCATTCTATTCATAAAAGAAAATATTGCGAGTCATCCACGCATTAATTTTAAAAAAAATCAATGTCATTGATTAGCATCTAATTGCTTGCTAACGGTAAAAATACTTTGCTATTTAAAAATACTTTATTATAAATTTCAGTTTTGGACATTTCTTTCTTCTTCAGTTAAAAAATGAAAGTTTTGTTGATTATTTATAATTCAAAATTCATACTTCTCAAAAATCTTGTTTGAAAATTAAGCATATAACGTATTAAATAAGGATTAATTTTGAACAATAAGCATCAAATGACCGTACCTTATTCTCTCTAGCAACTAGCATAAGCATGGGAAGAATTTGGCACAGTCAAATGCTACATTTTCCTATTTATATATGCAATAGTGCGTGTGCCCGTGTATTTCACGGTGAAATATGTCTATTTGTTCTATACATAAAAATATATAATTATAAATATAATAACATTATGAATATTTAAACTAAATTTTAAAAAAAATGTTTATTACACAATTATATTTAATATAATTAGAAGTGTTTAAAACAATATAATTAAATTCAGCAACAGCAAGACCATGCTGATAGTTTTACTCCTTGGTTAATGTCTCCTTATGTATAATGGGTGTTGTTCATGTTAACATTTAGTTTGTTTTTCTGCTTTTATATTTTCTGATGTATATATATAAATAAATAAATAAATAAATAAATCAGCAAGATAAACAATAATAAAATTAGAGAGCGAATTTATATGCATCATCTTATAGGAAAAGAAAAAGGCTTTTTATTTAATTATTAAAAATATTATTTATGTTTATATTTTTTAGTATTCTTTTAATTCTTTTTATTATATTTTTTAATTTCACACACACATATGTATATTATTTCTTTATACACATTTTAAAATCATGTTTAATTCTTGCAACAAATCCAAAACAACCTTGCAGCACTACAGGAACCAATTTTATAACGTGCACATCGATAAAAACAATAACGCACACAAGAGTAAGAATTGGTCAAAGTCAAATATATTAAACTCTTATCAGACTGTAAAACGCTAAATAAATAATTAAATAAAATACATTTAATTAAATTTTAAATTATATTAAAAATTCCAACATATTTCTACTTAGATGATACTCAACATGAACGATTTTAAGTTGTAAAAAAGTGGAGTCAGTTCCCTTTAAAGCCACCTATTGTAAAATACATTAGTTGCTTAAAATAAACTAAAAAAGGAAATAAATATAAATTTGAAAAATGAAAAATTAACAACCATGTCAGTTGATTCAAGCATTTCATGACAACTCTTCTTATTCGGATCAAATAAATTAATTAAAAAAAACATAATTGAAAATTAAGCATAACGTATTAAATATACTGTTTCTTTCTCTCTAGCAAGTAGCAAGTAGCAAGTAGGAAGTAGCAAGTAGCAAGTAGCATAAGCATGCAAAGAATCAACTAGAACCTTCCAAATAGAAGCGAGTGAGGCCCAAGGGAAGGTGGCCCAGGTCGAGGCCCATGCGTCTGAAAAACGCGTTGATTCCAATACCGTTACCCTATTCTCTTGAATGCTGAAGTGAACACATAGTTGGGGTGAAATGGAATGCTTAGACATTTAGTGAGAGTGAGAGCGATAGCAAGAGCAATATCTTCTCATTCAATTCCACTGCCTTTCACATTCCCACACTCCCTATCTTCCTCTCCATTTCCAATGGCCGCCGAAGACTCCCTCCGCAAGTCCCTCGCCGACAAGCTCGCCGCGGTGGAGGCGCAGGGCAACGCGGTGCGGGCGCTGAAAGCCTCGGGCGCGCCCAAGGCCGAAATCGAGGCGGCCATCGAAGCCCTAAACGCGCTGAAACTGGAGAAAACCTCGATAGAGCGGTCCCTGGTGGGCGGGTCGGACACGCGGGAGGCCTTCCGGCAGGCGGTGGTGAACACCCTGGAGCGGCGGCTGTTCTACATCCCGTCGTTCAAGATCTACCGCGGCGTGGCGGGGCTCTTCGACTACGGCCCCCCCGGGTGCGCCGTTAAGTCGAACGTGCTGGGGTTCTGGCGCCAACACTTCGTCCTGGAGGAGAACATGCTGGAGGTGGACTGCCCCTGCGTCACTCCCGAGATCGTCCTCAAGGCCTCCGGCCACGTCGACAAGTTCACCGATCTCATGGTCAAGGACCAGACCACCGGCACCTGCTACCGCGCCGATCATCTTCTCAAGGATTTCTGCAACGACAAGCTTCAGCGCGACCTTTCTCTCCCTGCTCATAAGGTTTCCGAGCTTAAGCACGTGCTTGCCATGCTCGATGACTTCTCCGCCGAGGAGCTTGGGGCCAAGATTAGGGACTATGGGATTGTCGCTCCTGAGACCAAGAACGCACTGTCTGAACCCTATCCCTTCAATTTGATGTTCCAGACTTCCATTGGGCCCTCTGGCCTCAGCCCAGGCTTCATGAGGCCCGAAACTGCGCAGGGGATTTTTGTCAATTTCAAGGATTTGTATTATTACAATGGGAACAAGCTTCCTTTCGCTGCTGCGCAGATTGGACAAGCCTTTAGGAATGAGGTCACACTTTCTTTCTCAATTCTCCTACATCCTTTCTAAATTAAGCTCATTTTGAACCTCTTTCGTGTGCTTCGAAAAACTTTCTCCAAAAAACTTTTTTTTATTTATTTTTTCTCAACTGCTTCTGGATAAATTCATTCAATCAAGCCCTAAGCTATTGACATTTTTAGTAACGCCTTGGCTGGTAGCTTTGGTAAAGAAAAAACAATTTTTATTAATGTCACAAATTAGAGTGTTTTTGTATTAAAAAGGATTAAGTTATCATTCCGGTAAAATGGTATTCCCAACGTATTTTGAATTTTTAAATAATTTAATTAGAATGTGGTGGTGATATGATATACTGTACCTTGAAGGCTTGAACAAATGCCCTTTGTAATTACTTGTCGGGAAATAAACTTTATACTAATAGTTTGCGGAATGGATTGGATTGTGTTTGACTGTATAGATATCTCCGCGACAAGGGCTTCTGAGAGTGCGGGAGTTCACGTTGGCGGAGATTGAGCACTTTGTTGACCCGCAAGATAAGTCTCATCCCAAGTACCCTGAGGTTGCTGACTTGGAGTTCTTGATGTTCCCGAGGGAGGAGCAAATGTCGGGTCAGGCTGCCAAGAGGATTCCTCTTCGCGATGCTGTTTCCAAGGTTGGTTTGGTTTCCATGTTTGAACTTATAATGGTGGTTTTTGAGATTTTTTTTTCATATTTTCTGCGGTGTATTTTGGTCAGGGTATTGTCAATAATGAGACTCTTGGTTATTTCATTGGGAGAGTGTATCTTTTCTTGACGCGTCTTGGTATCGACAAGGACCGATTGAGGTTTAGGCAACATCTTGCCAATGAGATGGCCCACTATGCTGCTGACTGTTGGGATGCTGAGATTGAGTGCTCCTATGGTTGGATTGAGTGTGTTGGAATTGCCGATAGATCTGCATATGATTTACGAGCTCACTCGGTAACCCACTCTGTTTAACTCTAATTATAATTAATGGATTCCTTGTTGCAACTATAGCATAATTCACAATGTTTTCCTCATTTCAGGACCCTTTTGCTATAAATCTGTTGACAATGTTTGTACATTTTATTTAATAGCCTAAAATACGTTTACCTAGTTGAAGAAAGTCTTTTCTCAATCAACAAACCTCCTTCATGTCTAGGTTTCAAATGGATTTTTTTCTTTTTAAGTTAAATCAAGCAAAATATAAAGAGGTATTGCAAAAATGAAGTTTTTGGTTATCATTAATCATCCCTGGAGCTTGTTTTTTTATCACTTAATCATCTCTAAGTTTGGTTTTAAGTGTCTGAAATTTAACTACAATTTGGTTTGACTAAAAAGTAATACTTTCACTTGAAATTAAATTACATTTAAGTTGAGGAATGACTATGCTTTGATGGAGGTAAAATGTATTTTATATAGTATATAGTATATAATATATAATATTAAAACAGCAAAGGAAATTCTAATCTTATAATATGATCATTTCTGCATTCTCATAATGTTGGTATTTGATATCGCAGGATAAAAGTGGTGTTCCACTAGTGGCTCATGAAAAATTTTCCGAACCTAAGGAAGTGGAGGTACTATTTAATGCTGAATGTGTTGATTTATTTATGGTTTACACATGACTGGTCCCTTCAACTTCATGCACGACCTCAAAAGTCTTCGGTTGTCATTATTGGTTGACTTGTTTTGTACATTGTTTCAGAAATTGGTTATAACTCCAGTAAAGAAAGAGCTGGGTCTGGCATTCAAGGGGAACCAGAGAATGGTGGTTGAAGCACTTGAGGTAAGTAATGGTGTTTAGTAGTACCAACAGTTATTGTCAAGAGGTGCTTACATTACTTTTGACACATGGAATCTTCTCTGGCAGGCAATGCCTGAGAAAGAAGCTTTGGATATGAAGGCTGCTCTGGAGTCAAAAGGAGAGGTGGAGTTTTTAGTGTGTACACTTGAGAAAACTGTGACTATTAAGAAGAATATGGTGACCATTCAAAAGGAGAAAAAGAAAGAGCACCAGCGAGTTTTTACACCATCTGTCATTGAACCTTCCTTTGGAATTGGACGGATAATTTATTGTCTCTTTGAGCACACATTCTACACGAGGCCAAGCAAAGCTGGGGATGAACAATTAAATGTATTCCGCTTCCCTTCACTTGTAGCCCCTATTAAGTGTACAGTTTTTCCACTGGTTCAGAATCAGAAGTATGAAGAGGTCGCTAAATTAATTTCCAAGTCATTGACAGCTGCTGGAATTTCACATAAGATTGACACTACAGGTATGTGGATAAAATATAAGTTCCCTTTGATATGTAAAATATACCTACATATAATGTTAATTAAAATTTTGGAGGTTTATATATATATATATATATATAAGAAGAAGAAGAAGATTCATTAAGATGAATAGAGGAAAATTTCTTGGAATTTGGGGCCTTGGAATATATTAGATCATCCTTTCTATGAAGTAGGCTTTGCTTTTGGCTTTTTGCTCCTGTTGAAGTGTTATTTTCTTGATAAAACTGTCAAAGGATTAAACTTTATATTTTATTTGCTATTGTTTATATTTTTTTTAAAATGTCAAATAGGTACATCAATTGGAAAACGGTATGCAAGAACAGATGAACTTGGTGTACCCTTTGCTGTCACTGTAGATTCAACATCATCAGTGACTATTCGGGAGAGGGACAGCAAGGATCAGGTGCGTGTTGATGTGGAAAAGGCTGCCACTGTTATTAAGGAGGTATCTGAAGGCCAGAGGACATGGGAAGATGTGTGGTCAACTTTTCCTCATCATTCCTCTACATCTGCAGATGATTGAATTTTATTGGTCACCATCTAGGTTGACTCATCAGAGTTTTCTGTTGCAAAATTTTGTGTTGTTTTCTGAGCAATGAATCAAACTACAGGGATATTACTAATTGTCAACTAGATACCCATTTCTTTGTTTAATCAAGTTTCTGCAACATTTACGGTAGTCATATCATAGGTATATGTATTTTGATAAATTTCTGGTTTGCCAATTGCTTCTCGGGGTTTTGTCATAATATATCAGGTTCCGAAGATTACTTAATACTAATGTCTCTTATGCTGAGGTTTTTAGGCTATGTGGCTTAACCTAAAAAAGAAAATGTTTTGCTTGTGTTATGTCTGAAATTGGTCTATTAGGCACAAGCAAGTGATTTCATATCAGATCTCAATGTTGATAATTCCCAAGCGTAGTAGTGATTTCATATCTTGCCGGTTTAAAACCTATAACACTATATTTCAGTGATTTGTCCAGATTTTACAAGTGCCTAAGCATGGTAACAATTATTGTAGTACTTTCTTTTTTCTGTTTCTCATTGGTTATTTCTAAATTAATGGATATGGATAAACTCCCAAGTAGAATTCGTTGGGTTGCATAAATGTGAACGATTTTTTAACATTAGTATTTGACAAGTAAATTAAGCAATTACATCTAGTGGGAAAAGTAGGTCCAGTTATATTCAGTAACCAACTGCGGCAACTTAAAAAAATTGGTGGGTGCACTGGAATAGGATAGGATACTGTTATTCACGCCCCTTCTACTAACTTTGATTTAAATAATTTTTTTTTTTTATATGAAGTTCAATTCATGATATTTAACGTATTAATTATTTTCAGATTAAATTTAATTAAAATATTTCTCAATTATAATTTATTTTAAAATATATGTATTTTAATTAGTATATTTAAGTTTACACTCTTTTTTTTTTTTTTTCTGAGAATTTAAAACAAAATTAGCCCCACCTTTTCACCTACCCCGTCTTTCAAACGGTTAAACCCTCTTCTCACCATTCACACTCACTCTCCTCGCAATACACATTCACAGTGGAGGAGGACGAAGACTCGCAAGTGATGCCATGAATTTATTTTGCATTTTGTTTTGTTTTATGTTATATTTATTTTGTAATGTTTCATTTTCACTCAAGTGTCAAAATTAACTATATTAATATATTATTAGTAACTCAAAACTTTATCACTATTGCTAATAATATTGATATTGATGTTGATATAAGTTGACACATGTACTGACATTGATAAATGGTGAAAGGTTGTTTGAAATTTACCATTCGTAACGGAAACAAGTTTCTATTCTGGATTTGTATTCTATGGAATTTTCGCTCTGTATGGTGAATTGATGTCCCCTATTTTCGTTTGTATTACAAGGAAAATAAATCTTCGTTGTGTATTGATCACAATGAAAACGTATTTTTTGTGAAAACTAAATTAAAAATAATAATAATTATTATCATTTTAGTCTCTATAACTTCATCAATCCTTTTAAAATATTTTATATTAATCTCTGTACATACTATTTCAGTTTCTATAATTTCATAATTATTTCTGTTTTCTGTTTTATAATAGTTTTTTTGTTTCTATCATTTTATAAGCTTTCATGTTTTTGTTTCAACATTTTAAATAATAATAAACTTTAAAGAATTTCAAACCTGGTTAAAACCAGAAGCTATTTTAAAAAGTATCTCAAAATCATTAGTTTCTTTTTTAAAAAATGGTTTTTCTGCCTATTAGTAAACATAAATTAGTTTCTATTTTTCTTAATTTCTATAAAATAACATTATTATTTTACATTTGAATCACTTTTTTTTTATTTATTATTTGTAACAAACTGACCTAACAGGGTCCTTATTACACAACTTTGATGAGTGGTATGGACAAAGATGCTCAAATTGGTTAAATGATTTAGTAAAAATGACCCAAACATTATGGTTTCTAGTTGTAAATTGAAATTGGAATTCATCTGATAGAGCTTTATTGAATCTCTTACGAAGTTAGAAAGAAGCATTCTTGATGTAGTAGTGTCAATCACTTACAAAAACATTCATGTTACCATACATTTTGTAAGCAATTACCACCTTATATTGGTGGAGTGATGTTGGAGCGTTGAAATGAGTGATGTTAAATTATTAGATAGTTTATATAATTTGCAACCACATAACTGGTATGAATCATTGTTTAGTTGTTCATTGAGCTATCAACTTTCACTTTTGCATGTAATGTCGAAATCCATCAAGTCCTTCCCTTATTGAACTGATGTGTTGGCCTAAAACAATTGGTAATATCAAAGATACGTCTTATGGGGAAAGTGTTTATCATACATCGTCCTTATAAAACATTTTGAATTAAATATATTTTTAATTTCTTAAATTTAGGATTTTTTATATTAAATACGTTTTTAGATCATGAACTTTTGTCAATTTTTGTTTTTAGTCCCTAAATTTTTGCTAATTTTTACTTTTAGTCTTTAAACCTTTTCTTCTCTTAACATTTTAATCTTTGGCATAAACAAAGTTTGTTTATTGAGAAAACTTAAGGATTAAAACCAAAAAAATCAATTTTTAATTTAAATGATAAAAAATAATTTTATCTTATATTTAAATTTTTAAGGATAAAAATATATTTAAGTCAAAGATTTTTATAGTAATGACGGATTAAAATTTATTTTATATGTGAATTTTAAAATAGTTACTATAAAAATCAAACAATAATTAAATAATGTAAATAAAAAAAATTAAAAAAGGCTGTGGTTCTTCACTATCACCCTTCTATCCTTTCGTTAGGATTGGAATTAGAGTAATAGTGGCCAACCACTTAAAACACTTTTCAACCACAATAAAGCCCAAAGCACTTATCACTTACTTCTATTTTGCGTCCACGTGATAGCCCAAAATGATTGGCTTCCTCCCACTTCTGGGTTGGCAAAAAGATAAGATCCATTAAGGTTTTGCTTTAAGACACTTTATCTTTGCCATTTTTTTTTGTCGACATCTTTCGCATTTTCATATTTATTTTATTTTTTGGTCTGCAATGGGCCCCATGAAATCTTTTTTATTTAAAAAGGACATAGTCCCCATCTGAAACGAGTATCTAACAGGGGATTTTGTTAGAGGAAAAAATAGAATAAAATTAGAGCACAAGTGTAACTCATCCAAAGTGATTAAATTAAAAATGACAAATCAATCCGATGATTGAATGAAATCTAAGTCAAACCGAAAAGTTATCCAGATTAATTCAAAATATCAAATTGGTTCGGATTATAAAAAAGCTGCAAATTCAATCATTTATTATTATTATTATTATTAGGTTTGGTTTATGTTGTGAACTTTAAATTTTTGGTAAAAGATAAATTTGTGTATTTTATATTGTTGACAGACATTTATAAAATTGAATGCTTTATCAGTTAAATTTAACATAATGTGTTTTAAGTTTAATGTAATTTAGTATTTATAGTTATTTTAATAATAAATCTAATAGTTTGACCCAAATCAAATTAAAATTTGACAACAAAAAAAAAAGCTAAATACAAACTAATTAAATTTGAAAAAAAATAGAAATAAAATAAATATTTCATTCAATCCAATTTATGCAAACCTCTAGAAAATGAGATAACTGGATGATGGAACATGAATTTTGGCTTCCGATCGCATTATTGGTGAAAAATGATTTTCCATTCAATTAGTGCAAGTTCCAAATAAAGAGACTATGCAGGGATTTAAGTCACGTTCATAGAAATGTGTTCGTGTTTGTATCTGTCTTAACAACCTTGGCACCAAGTTATTTTTCGAGTTTACTGCATTAAGTATTAAACTTAACTTTAGTCTTGTTCCAGTTATTTAAGGAATGCAATGTGATTAAAGAAAGTTGGCTAGATAACAGTGCTGATAAATATAAAACTAAATTGTACATCAATAATGTGTCAAATGTTGTGCTTGAAATATATAATTTCAAGGAAACAAATTACACATGATATCGCAGTGGAACTATAAACAAAAGCTGCTCTCTATATATAGAAAGGTTATGCCAATGTAGCTTCTCTAAGATATTATATCCATCAACATCCATGCAGGTGACACCATCATAGGATTAGAGGAACATGATTCACACGTTCTTCAACAAAAGACTAGCTCCAAAACTTTGGTTATAAACCAACCAACACCGCATGGTAGCTGTTACTTTCAGACACAGTGGAACAGAACGGGTATCACTGTTCTTACTGTATATAATCTTTATCCAACAGAATATCTATGTGCCTCTCTTCAAGTACCAACTCCAATTAACTTGAGCTGTGATGAGAAATTGCAGCAGATTACACTATCAGCATGTGAAGAATAATATACACTTGCTTGTAAATTCTCAAGTCTTCAAATGTCATAATAGAAGAATATGGTTAATATTATTAGAGCCAGATTAAGGTTAGGAAAGTTACAATGTTATTGTGAGGACTTCCCCAGTAAAATCCTTGGAGGAAGATTGGGAAAACATTGCAAGCTGCAAGGATATAAATCATTAATGCATGCATCCCCATCCATTCCATAACTATAGTCATGCGTCTATATCCCCATACATCAACCTGCAAGGAAGAGAAAAAATTAAGAATTCATCTAGAATAAGATCAAAGAATGATGCTATCTTAAGCAAATTTAGTGAGAACCAAAAACTGAATGATAATCAAAAAAAGGAAATCATGCAACATTCAAGTCAATACTAGTACACAGCTATAAAGAAAGAAATTAAATATCTAACCATGACATATATTCCGACAAAGAGGATGCCCGCAGCACCAGCAGTGACACACATGTAACTGAAGGAATAGAGCACCTTATTTATATGCATTCCTACAAGGAGAACCACATCAATATCTACAAAGAATATCAATGTGATTGGTACAATGCACATGTAAGAAATAGTTAATGAGAATGCTTACCAAATAAGTCCAACACAAGGCCAAAAACTACAAGACAAGATGTTGGGATCATCCAGTATATGATTCTCACTCTGTGGTCCTGCATGCAGCAACAAGGAAACAACTGTGTAACTTACAATCAAAACAGGTAAACGATAATTAAAAAAAAAAAAAGTATCACCTTAAAATGCACAATAATATGTCCGTAATGCAAGCCAATCAAGCAGGTAACAATAGCCATCACTGAACTGTAATTCCACAATGGACATAAAATTAGAGACAAGAAGGAAAAACACTCGATTTTAAAGGACTAGTTTGGCATTCAAACAGTAGTCACATTCTTTCTCTTTTACCCCTCATTGAGAGTGACATAGTGACCTCACCTTAGAATTCCTTCAGGATCAAAAGGTGCTTGACACCAAGCAGGAGCATCAGGAGGTAATGGTCCATAGTCAGGAGAATTAATACTGCATTCCTATTGATCACAAAAAAAAAGAGTAAGGTAACATATTTATAAAAATGAAAAAGCAACAAGAACTAGCATGTTGAGTCAAAAAACTGTCAATAAAGAGGATCATACAGGCATCCTTGCATATATCGGTCTCCTATACAAGTGTTGTATACCCAATATTGTACGATCAATCATCCCAACAGCATTGCAGGCTGGTCCAGTGTCACCCCTTACTCCACATTTAACCTATGCAAATATATAAATATAAATTTAAATATAAATCCCGTTTTAAAACAATACTAGAAGACATATTATTCACAAAATATCCATAAACCTACAAACAAAGAGAAAAAAAACAGAGGACATCAATACTCACTGAAAATGTCTTAGGCACTGAAGAAGGCTCTGTTGATATTTGATACTCCCAATCAGGAACGTATAATCCATATAGGAAGCAAATATAAAGGAAAGAAATAATCAAAGCCACAGCCCTGTTACAGACAAACAAATTAACAAGGCATGGCCATGGTGGGGGAAAAACAAGAAACAAATAAAAACCCAACTAAAAAAACATGATTTGAAACACAAGTTCAATGGAAAAGGAGCATTTAAGGACTTATCATGAACTAGTATTGCATTGCCAACAGAATATTGTTGTGTAAACAAGATATGGATATGTTGAAAAGCCACTCACAAAATAAATAAACAAAACTAAGTAATTGAGATTCATGCTAGTGTCTCCCTCCAGGTTCAATGGGTTCGTCAAACATCAAATAAGAAACAAAAAGTTCAGAGGAAAATTAAGCTTACCACTGGTATCGATATTTCCTTAATAGGGATGGTCCTGAATTAACAGATTCATCATCCCTCTTGAGCCATATTTCACATAGTGCTGCAAGCAAATATGCTATCGCAATTCTCTGATATCCAATAAAGAAAACAGGGAATGGAAATTAACATACATGAAAAAATATAAACAGATAGCAACAGCAAAAACAAAGTATTTGGTAGTTAACAGTTAACTTTTGTTTTTAATTTGTGTTCAAATTTCTCGTGAGGGAAAAAAGTTATAGCAGTCACTTGCATTTGATGCTTCTCATTTACAACTTTTCAGAAGGAGAGGCAAAGAAAACCCTTCTGAAGAAAGCATACCTGAAGTATTCCCATCCATCGTATCTGTTTCATATCCACTCCATATGTCAGATCGTTCACGCGATGGATATAACCTCCTGCAGAAGTTTAATTTTAGATTTTAGACATTTTAAAGAAAAATGTATAACAAAATGCAAGTTCTCAGCATCTACCGTGCATATTATATATACATTTATAAATTATAAAATCTATCCTGTGTTCAACATTCAATGTTTTCAGCTAGGCAATCATTAAAAAAAAAAAAAAAAAAAACAGATGCCAACAATTTAACAAAGCTTAAAATTTAGCAAAAGGTTCAGTTGAGCACCTTGAAGAAAAAGGCCTAATGCGAGAAGCTTGAGAGCCCGTAAAGATGCTTTCTTAGATGCAACTACTTTGCAAGACAGTTTCTGTTGAAGAAAAAGAGTAGGTAGGTTACATGGACCATTTATAATGAAAGTTCAACAACAAATTATGCTTCTGCTTACATGATATAAAAAAATTGCATTACTATACAACATTATCACATCTGTTTTTGCGCTATACTTGGTTAATTTATACAACAGTTTCAATTGAATTACCTTGTAAGTGAGTGCAAGCGAAAGACCAACAATAAAAAGGAAAAATGGCATGACATAATCAGCTAGTGTTAAACCATTCCATGGGGAATGATTGAGCGCTGGAAGGAGTCCGCCAGCATCATCAACCAGTATCATCAGCTGCATCAAGATTGATAAATTCAGTTAAAAAAAAATGCAACAACTTGGATTAATCTTAAACTATAGGTCATTGCAATTTCATTTTCATCTTCATCTTCATCAATGGTTTGATCATACTTCGCATCAAGTAGCAATACTTAATACTATCACATGTGTGCACCTAACACAATTAAGGCTAAATATGACAACTTATCTAATCAAGTCCAATTTTATTAGGCGCACCAAACAAGGTCTAAAGAGTAAAGACTATAAGAATTCTATATAGATAATAATTACTTTACAAATGTCACAAGACTATGTAAATTCAATAAAAGGGCGGCCCAGTGCACGAGGCTCCCACCTAGTGGGGTCTGGGGAGGGTAGATGTACGCAGCCTTACCCCCGCAAGCGGAGAGGCTGTTTCCAGGACTTGAACCCGTGACCTCTTGGTCACTAAGCAGCAACCTTACCGTTGCGCCAAGGCTCACCCTCTACTATGTAAATTCAATGATTTAATAATTTCTTAGACTTCTTATTCAGTGACGCATATTTGCCAACAACAGCATAGGTTATGCATGTCGCTTCTTACACGTAAATGTGATCCAGTGTAGGATGCTGTTTTCTAAAGCGAATGGCAAGCATTATTTGCGTTTCTTCGTCATTTCCAATTCATAAAGTAATACAAAAGTAAGTCATAGTGGTGACCAGTCGGTGTTAAATCTAACCGACTGCACGTTATGCCACCACTCTTTGTACGATGCATTAAAACCAATTAATATTAATTAATAAACGAACTTGAAAACATGAATTTGTTTATGATAAGCAATACACAATTTCGGATTAACCTAATCCATTTATATTATTTTATATTTTATTAAATGAAAAGAAAATTGTCATGCGTGAAAAGAGGTAAAACTGAGATCGAATCAGCACTGATTTTTGCCAAATCTGATGTTTATTATCTAACAGGTTTGAGGGTTGCCTAAAATGCGCAACAACCATCATTTATGAGAGATAATATTTTTTTTTTCTTGTTTAGAAGATTGTGATTTTTTTTTGTTAATCATGATTCAAGAGTAAAGGAGGTTAAGATCCAAACCCCTTTTTGGCTTGTAAACAAGTATTTTTATGTTCCTTTAGTAATCAATATAGATTTTGGGAGCATCTTTTTTCTTCTTTTTTTCTAAAATTACACATATTAATCTACATACAAACAAAAGTAATTAATTGGGAAGGAAACCTAATAACAAGAGGCCGTTAGAAAACAGGAAAGTACTTAATCGCTTGGGAGTTGGGATATACTGTTTACTTCTCAAATCAATAAGTGCTCAAATATGCAATTGGGGAAAAAAACAGATGAAATCCATCTACAATTAGAAGCGTAATTAAATTAAAAAATATTTAATATGCGATAATAAATTCAAGAATAATGATAAAAGTCAATGGACAGTGTGATGTAAGAAAATGCAGAGATGTTATGATTTTAAAACAAAGAAAATAAATAAATATATATATATACACTATATAATAAAAGAATATTGTGATATTTTTTTCGAAAGGGCAAGTAGCCGTAGTGCTGTTTAAATGGACGGCTCTCCAAAAGACTAAAGAGAAACAACACAAACTCTCTAATAAAAAGATGGGGATTAAAAAACAATTTTAGAATTACTAAAAGTTCAATAGAATAAGATAATATTTTTGTTAAAGAAGAATAAAAAGTAGTAGAAAATATTTGTGTTAAAAGTAAAATGTGCGAATATTAGGATTTTTACGGAAAGAGGCTAGTAGCCGTAATTCTATTTATATGGAAGGCTTTCCGAACGACAAGGGGTGAGTAACAAAACAATATCTCCGAAAAAGGAGAACAAAGTCACAAAACGAAACAACGGACGGTAACACCAAACGCTATTCTTTTCTTCAAAGGAAAGCAACATTACTTTAACACGTGCACACTCTTTCGAGTTTGGATTCTCCCAGGAGTCAAATTGAGATGACAATTTAAAGCCAGAAAATTAAAAAATAATTTCCAGGAATCTCTCCCTTTACCTCCACACCCGAAAATTCTAATCCCTATCAATCATACTGTATTCGGATACCTCCTAAGAACTTCAACTTAGTTTTGGTAAAACTGAAAACCAATCCAAACACAGCTTAAATCTTCCTGCCATAAGCAATAACCAATTTTAAATTAAAAAGAATCATCACGGGTGGGTGAGTCAGTACTCATGATTAGGTCTAGTGAGAGGTGCGCATTGCGCAACAACCTCATCACTTGTATTATAACATTTTTGTACTATCACCGAGTCCAAATCCAAGGAAGGAAAGAAGAAAGGACCAAACGACGTCGTTTGGCTCCTTCCAAAACTCTCGGCAACGAACCATGCCATTTCTAATAAAAACAAATCTTAATTAATCGATTAACGGCTTAAAAACTATGCGTCCGCTTTATTAGGCAAAATAATTAATTTCCTCCTTATTTTCTAAAAACAGAAAGAAGAAAACAAGAAAAGGAAAAAGAGGAAGAGGATGAGAGAGATTACCGCTACGGTGAGACCACGAAAAACATCGAGCGAAACAAGACGCTGAGGTTTGTTCTGAGGTTGTTGGTGTCTGGACGAGGATGAACGTTGCTCCTCAATGTTGTTAATGGCTTCTCGATTAACAGTGGCAGATCTTGATTCAGAGATCTGGTTATGAGGAAGCGCCATCTCCACATCATCATCATCAAAGTTTTTAATAGCCTCGTAACTCGCCATCTCTCAAATCAACAATGTCTTCCACTGCAAACTCTTGCCACCATCTGCACATACACGTACATAGATACATACATACATACATATGAATAAATGTTACCATAAAACAAATAATAATAATAATCAGTGTGTGTTGAAGGAGAGTGAGTAAGGGAATAAGGAAAGAGTCTTATCTTACTTGAAGAAACAATGCAGTAGTTGAGAGGAGTTTCGTTTCGTTTCGTTTCGTTGTTGATGATGCTGTTAATTATTTCTCTTTTCTTTCTCCCTCCCTCCCTCCTTCCACTGTTTCTTGAAATTCTTCCTTGCCTTTCTTTCCCTTGTTACCCGCTTTTATAGGACAACCAAGTGCGACACACAACGCTAACATTTTCGATATTTTGCGTTTCCTCTTTCTATTTTTTCTTTTTTTATTTTTATTTTTATGAACCTAAAAAACCTTCTTTAGATAACATTATGTAACTCCTTTTCAAAAATAAAATTAAAACAGAAAATGAACTACTCCATCCACCTCATCTAATCTCAAACTAATAAAATACCAATAATTATCTTCTAACAAAAATAATTTTAAAAGAAAGTTTTTATCTATTTCATTTTGATTTATGTTTATCATAATATTTTTAATTAACTTTACTATTTTTAACTAATTATAGTTAAAATAATCTTATCTCATAACAAAAATATAATTTATATATTACTACAGGTGTTATATATAATTAGTGAGATTAAGATATTTTGTGTTTTTATTTTTCTTATAAAAAAATAATTTTAGAAAAAATTATATAATATATAATTACTTACCAAAAGTTTTTAATTTAATAAAAAAATTATGTACAGTAACTTAATGAAAGTTTGTATTTGAAAGATAAAATAATATCATTGAAAATAAATAAATAACCATATTAAGTTTGTTGAAATTTTTATAAGAAATAAATAAATAACCATATTAAGGATTTTTTATTTAAATTAAAATATATAAAGTTATGGAAAAATTGACTATTGCAGTTATTTTTCTTCTACTTTTATTGGGAGCATAAAATAAATGATATTTTCTATTTTGATTTTATATATTTATTGATTGATGTGCGTGGTATTAACGAGGATGGTCGTCCCTGTACGTTACCACGCTCTTGTTACCCTCTCATCAACACCGAGGCCACTCGTTATCCCGAAATATATACTGCAAATAATTATCGAATTAATTCGTCAATTTTTACTGATTCATCATTTCAATGACTAATTACCAATTAAATAACATTTAAAATGATTTGTTCACAGAATATTTTTATACAAAGGATGAAAAGCTTATTATTATTATTATAAAATGAAACATTTTAAGGTAACAGAGCAAATCTCTTGATTTCAGAAACTATTGGGTATTGATTGTAGTCGCTGGGTCTTTTGAATGTTGGGCTCGTTAACGTGTACAATCAGAAACAACAAAATTATAAAGCATTGTACGAAAGTTATATGTATTTATGAAATAGTATTATATTAAACATATATTATTTTTGTGATTTTATGCTTTTAATTTAATAATATATTTTAAATATATATATATATATATATTAAAGAAATATATATATATATATATATATTTCAAATTATAATAATACCAATAAGTAAATTTTATGACATAATATTTAATAAATTTTTTAACAAAATTTGAATATAAAGATTAAAATAATTTTTTTAAAATTTATAAGAACTAAAATTACTAATTTTTAACTTAAGGGATGAAAAATAATTTTATTTTAAATATAAGAAACTAAAAAAACATATTTAAGTCTTCATATTATTTTTTAGTTATTCATGAGGTATATTTTTTTACATAATTTTTACTATATTTATAATTTTTTTAGGTTCAAATATTAATTACATTTTATAATTTTTATATAGATGAATTTAATGTTATAAATTTCATGTTTTAAATCAGTCAAAAATAAATTATATATATTGATGAAATAATATTATATTAAATATATATTAATTTTTGTGCTATTATGTTTTTATTTTAATAATATAATTTATATATATATATATATAATTGGAATTACATTAACAGATACTATATAAAAATAAATAAATAAATAAATCACTTTCTTTCTATTTTTATGAATATTACTTTAGTAAATAATTAAATATTATTATTTATAGAAAGTATTTATTCATATATTTAAGAATAAGTTTTACTTTTGATTTTTATCTTAATTTTTATATTTATTTTCATTTTTATCTCTTAAGTTTAGGTTAATGCTTAATATTTGTCTCACAATATTCAATTATATGAAATTTAAATGCAATTGAAGTTCAAACTAAATGTATTATAAACATGATGAAAATTTAAAAAATTTATAAAATTATTTCTATATTATTTTCTAGTTGTTCGTGTGATATATTTTTCACATGATTTTTACTATATTTATTGCCCTTTTAAATTTAGGTGTCAATCTTATTTTATAATTTTCATATAGGTGAATCTAATTCTACAAATTTTACATTTTGAATCAGAAAAAAAAAATTGATTCACAAACATGTTGCAAAACTAAAAATAATTTTTATTTTAAAATGTTCAAATTGATCCAAATATGAAAGATAAAGGATCAAAATAAACATTTTAATAGATAAAGGACCATAATAAATCTAAATAAAAAGTATAATTTAGTCTATATTTAAAAATTACTCTATTAATAACATTAAATCATATATTAACATATATTACTAAAGTCAATCTAGTGGTGAGAGTTATAATAGTTTGCACATAATCTTATATTTAAATACTAGTGTGTCATTGTAATTTTGATAAATTAAAAAATCAATATATTGCCATTTATATCTCGGTGAATTTTAGTATTTTTTATGCACCATTAACAATTATAATTTAGAAAAACTGCATTTTTAATTATTAAAACATCAGTATTTTAAAATGTCAGAAAAAAGAGCATAATATTTGAATAAAAAATTAAAATAAGTTGCTAATAGATCTTAGACTTACATACTATTTTGATAAATAAGTGCTATTCAATAATGATTTAAGTGAATATTATTATTATTAATTAAAATTAAAATGTATTTCTTAAAATGAGACACGTGAGTTAATAAGATCAGACTTCATAATTAATAATATTTTTAAATTTAAATTTATTTTAGTCTCTCAAATTTAAAATTATTTTTTAGTTTCTATAATTATCAATAATATTTTAAAAGTAATAAATTGAGATAGTTATATAGTATTAACCGATTTTAATGATATATTTTATTAATAGAGAGATATTAATAAGTAAATTTTGTATAATAATATTTGATGAATTCTTAAAATAAAATGAATATAAAAATTGAAATAAGGTTTTTTGTAAATTACAAAAATTAAAAAGATCAATTTTAAATTTAAGAAATTAAAAAAAATTATTTTAAATTTAAAAGTTTAAAAATATATTTAAATTTATTTTTATTATTAATTAAAATTTATAGGAGTCTTATTAAATACGATATTTGATTTTTTATTCGATTAATCTTAATCATAATTTAATAAATCTCATACAAATGTTAACTAATATGAGAAATAGAAAAAGTGTTACGAAAAATGTTCAACGGTATGTTTTATCAATCGTAGATGTTGATGTTTGAAACCTTAAGCTAAACTCATGTTTACGTTGTCCCTCGATTATAAGTGATTCATCAAAACACTGAAAAAGAATGAGATGACAAATTTACCCAAAAATAAAAGAGAAAAGACATGTCAACAACTTTTATAGAAGATTGAGTAATACTACGATGCAGTCAAGTATACGAGGAATTCATCAACTGAACCTTTGAATCTTTGTGAAATATCTGAACTAAGTCATAGTTGAAGATTTCAGCTCATGTTAATTAATTACCTCTGACTGCGTTAATTAATCTGCTTCAGTCTTAATTGGACCTAGCCATATTTCTATGCCTTATAGCACTAATTTCTGAGCCCAACTTGATCCTGAGTCTGCCACTTAATTAATGGGAGCCATGTCTTCTTTTCTCTCTCTTAAACTTTCAACATTTGTTTTATTCTTATATTTTATCATTTTTTTTTCTCGGGAATAGTTCAAACAGCAAGTATAATGTATAATGTACTGTATGATTTATTATAAACTTTATTTATATATAATAAATTTTTAGTTTATATAATATGATTAAAATAGTAATTACTAAAAATATTTAATTGAGATAATTAAAATGATAATGAATGATATAGGTGTAACTGTATAGATAAAAAATAATATATATAGATAGATAGATAGTTGGTATTATGTAAATGTTTACTATAGCCTAATAAATGTTTAAAAAAAATAGCCGAATAGAAATTAAAATTAACCTTGAAATCCGTACCTTATGTCATGTACCACTACTTTTGCACAGAATCCACCAATAATATTGCCAAGAGAGAGCTTGGATGTGACGAATGAAATTATGATTTGAGTCACGAATGAAATTTGAGTTGTTGAGTTTTTGGATGCTTTGCACTTCTTGGAAGAAAATGATGATCATTGTACTCAATTGTGGTTGTATATTGTTCTTTTGGTTGAAAATGAGTTGCTTGTGATATATACACAGATTTTTCATGAGTTGTATGTTAGTTTGGGTTGGAATTTTACAAGTTTGAGCCAAAATTATGATTATATAAAGTGCATAAATTACCATCGCGTCAAACGCAATTTCATGGTGTCAAGTGTGATGCAAGTTAGAGACTTTCTACCTCACTAACATTGGATGTGAGATTGGTAGTATTGGACGTGAGTTGGAGGAGAGATCTAAGATGTTTGACTTGATTACACCAGATGTAACATTGTAAAAAAAAAAAAAAAAAAAAAAAAAGGGGCTGACGGAATTTCCCACGGATTTAAATCCGTCTGAAATTTTCGACATAATTTCCTGCAGATTTAAATCCGTCTGAAATTATTAAATAAAATATAAGCCAATTATTTTTCAAATGCAAGCAATCCTGATCCCATCGATACACACAACAATGCATTATATAATATTTTCATTATTATATGGGTGTTTTCAAAATATAAATATATTGTAATGAATAAGATAAATATAAATCAGAGTGAGTGAGGTATGACTTACCTATATATAATTATATGTTTAATTAGGTTATTATAAATTATAAACTAATTAGCGTAAATGT